AGATATAATGTGTTGAATAACTTAATTCAAATGGAACAGGATTTAATAAGTCGAGTACTTTTATTTAAAAAAAAGAGATTTGATAAATTGTTTACCTTCTTTTAAAGGAAAAGAGATTTCATAATTGTAGTACTTTCGTTTAAATGAAAAAAGTCTATATAAGTTAGGTACTTTTTTTGAAATAGAGAGAGATTTAATTGTTTAAGTACTTTTTTTAAATAGAAAAAGATTTATTTAGTTTTGTATTTTGATACTAAGTTAAAAAGAGAATAAATCAGTTAAGTACTGCCATTTAAATAAAAATACGTTTAATAGGTTTAATACTTTTTTTCAAATTAAAAAAGATCTAATGACTTAGGTACGTATATTTAAATGGAAAAAGATTTAATAAGTAAAGTACATTCATTTTAATGCATAGAGATTTTATAAGTTGCCTACTTTCGTTCAAATAAGTAGAGTATAAATGAGTTGAGTACTTTCATTCAAATAGAAAGAGATTCGATAAGATTAGTACTTTTACTCATATAAAAAGAGATTTGATAGGTTAAGTGCTTTTGTTAAATAGTAAGAGATTTAATGAATTGGGTACTTTTATTCAAGTAGAAAGAGATTTTATGTGCTTAGTAATTTTATTCAAAGAGAAAAAGATTTAATGAGTCCTGTACTTTCTTTTTATTAGAAAAAGATTTGATAATTTAGGTACTTTTAATCAAATTGAAAGAAGTTTTATAAGATTGGTACTTTCACTTACATATTAAGAGACATAAAGGTTAGGCGCTTTTATTTAATTAGTTAGAGATTGAAATAAGTTGGTATCTTTATTCAAATAGAAAGAGATTTAACGTATTAAGTACTTTCATTCAATTACAAGGAGATTTAGTGAATTGAGTACTATTATTAAAAGAGAAAGAAATTTTTATAAGTCTAGTACTTTCAATTAAACTAAAAAAGATTTGTTATGTTAGGTACTATCATTAGAATGAAAACAGGTTTATTAAGCCAAGTTCTTTCGTTCTAATGGAAAGAGATTAAATGAGTTGAGTACTTTTACTCAAATGAAAAGAGAATTGATAAGTTAGGTATTTCTATTAAAATGAAAAGGGATTTGATTATTCGAAGATTTTAACTTTAATGGAAAGAGATTCGATGAGTTGAGTACTTTAACCTAAATGGTAAGAGATTTGATGGCTTTATAACTTTTATTCAATAAAAAAAGGATTTGATAAGTTGAATACTTTCATTTAAATAGAAAGATATTTGATAGGTAGAGTTTTTCTATTTAAATAGAAAGAGATTTTATGAGTAAAGCACTTTAATTTAAATTTAAATAGACTTGATATGTTAGCTACTTTTATTTAAATAAAAAGATATTTGATAAGTTAAGTACTTTTATTCAAATGGTAAGAGATTTGATGTGTGTAGTACTTTTATTTTAATGAAAAAAATTTGATAACTTAAGTACTTTTATTAAAACTAAAAAGGATATAATTATTTGAGTTCTTTCATTTCAATAGAAAGAGATTTGATGCGTTGTTTACTTTTATTCCAATAGGAAATGATTTGATGCGTTGAGTACTTTTATTCAAATGTAAAGAGATTTGATGAGTTTAGTACTTTTAATAAATTTAAAAAATATTTGATTACTTAAGTACTCTTATTCAAATAGAAAGAAATTTGATAATTAGAGTACTTTTATTTAAATAGAAAGAGATTTGATAAGTGAAGTACTTTGCTTCAAATGGAAAGAGATTTAATTTGTTAAGTACATTCATTTAAACAATAATAGATTTAATAAGTTTGGAACTTTATTTAAATGAAATAAGATTTGATGAGTAAAGTACTTTTATTCAAATAAAAAGAAATTTAATTAGATAGATACTTTCATTTTATTGAAAAGAGATTTGAATCAGTGAGTACTTTCAGTAAAATGGAGAGACTTTTGAAGCGATAAGTACTTTCATTTAAATAAGAAAAGATTGGATAAGTTAAGTTTTTTAATTAATATAGAAATTTATCTAATTAGTTAAGTACTTTTATTAAAATGAAAAGAGATTTGATGAGTAGAGTATTTTTATTTAAGTGGAAATAGTTTTGATGAGCGAAGTATTTTTATCCAAATTGAGATAGATTCATTTAATTTAGTACTTTTATTCAAATGCCAAGCATTTTGATGAACCGAGTACTTTTATTCAAATAAAAGAAAATTCATATGTAAACTACTTTCAAACTAATTGAAAAAGATTTAATAAGTCGTGTACTTTTATTTAAATGAAAAGAGATTTATTAAGATGAGTACTTTAATTAAAATGGAAAGGGATTTAATATGTTTACTACTTTTCTACGTGCGACCGATGCCTTAATCGGTACTCTAGTAGATTGTAGTGACTCGAAAAATCTCCGTACGGTTGATATATGATTAATGGGAAGGACGATAAGAAAATAAAACACAATAACAAATATATTTGATCCTAGTCAGTACTACGAAGTACGCTTTATTTAGCTCGTCAGGGAAAAGCCTTTCAGCATAAAAACTCTGGTTGAAACGTTAACAAAGAATCTGTACAAATCAGGATTATATTTGCAACGTGCAGGACCGCCTTTGTTCCTTTGTCGCTGGCCGAACTTAAATGATGTAGTATTGCGCAATAAAAATAGCTCTCTTTGATGTAGTTCTCGCAAGTCTCAGCTTTTCTACGTTAGATGAATCTCGAGCGATAAATCACGCGTGATGAATAACAAGTAATGATAGGCGCAAGAACGCGCTGGGCTTTATACAAAAAAGCGATGCCATGCTGGACCAAACACCGATAAGCCCAATGAAAACACTGCTGCCGATACGTGTGAATGGCGTAATAAATGTAGTGGGAAACAGCGAGCTAGAAGAAAAAAGAGCACTTGCAAACATCTTGTCTCTACCGTGGTTAAAACCAATAAAAAACGATACTGCTTTGTCGCACGTGTTTTACGCGTTGCTAGGGCTGTACACGCCCCAGCGCTTCACCCTACTCGCTCGTTGCGTAGGATACGCAACATACCCCTTCCCTTGAACAGGCATTGCTCAAAATTTAAAAAAAATGCACACACTTAAATACAAATTATAATCTATATACATACTGCTAACCGCATATTACAATACATATTCAGAATTTAACGCAACTAAATTACAAAAAAAAAAATTTTTTTTTTTTTTAAACGCTTGGCAAAGGTGAAAGACGTTTAATACTGTGCTTTACAAGACCGTTGGCAGTTTTTACTCTCCCCACGCGTGCTATACTGTCGGCTCCATTATGTACTTCCGAGACACGTCCTTATAGCTCTTTAATTAGGGTGGAATTATCTTCTTGCAGGATGAATAGCGTACCCAGGCTTATTTCGTATACTGTGCCTCTGTGCAATTTTTTACGGACCATCTGCTCGTTCAAATATTCTTTATTCCATCGGTTCCTAAAATGCTGTCTCCTCTTCTGTACGTGCTGTCATTGCGAAAGACGCCCGGATAGTATATCCCTGTAATCGTCCTCTGGCAAACTCGTAAACGAATTTTTATTTAAAAATGTCCAGGTGTAAGAGCGCGCAAATCATTCGGGTCATTATAATTCGAACTATATGATATTTAAACGATTTTACGGCCGCTTCTTATAGACCTCTAAAAGGGGGTAACGTGGTGGAATGAAATGCTACTAGATCCCTTCATTTAACAAACTTCGCGAGTCGCGTGATTCTAGTTCGTTCGCCGCACCTACGAAATTAGTCGCGTTGTCGAAATATATATCCGAAAATTTTCCACGGCGTGCCATAAATCTACGCAAAGCTGCTAAATATGCTTCAGTCGTTAGATCATTCACGAGTTCTAAATGATCGGCCTTTATGCTAAAGCAGACGAATACCGCCACATATATTTTAGCGCAACCCCGGTTCCGATGTGGCTTTTCCTTGATGAATAACGGTCTGCAGAAGTCCACGTAAGTGTGGAGAAACAGACGATTTGGTAGAAGACGACTGGCAGATAGATCACTCATCGAATATTGCGGCGTTGCGGGTTTTAAACGTCGACAAGTAATGCATTTATATATTACGCGTTTAACGCTGCTTCACCCGTTTATTGGCCAAAACGATTAGCGAAGTGCGTTTAAAGTAACTTGCGTACAACCGTGCCCTATTTGATAGTGCTTTTCGCGTATTATCGCGTTTGTAAATGTATGGACTTTCGGTAATAAGTCGGGATGCCTTTGCTCGTATGGCAAGTTGCTCCTTGCCAATCTACCTCCAACTCTTAATATTCCTAAATTGTCTACAAACGGGCTAAGCACGGAGAATGATTCGCAAACCTCTTTTCTGGACTAGATCAATTTGATGATCTCAGGAAATGCTTCTTTCTGTATCAATCTAATCGAGATTACTTTCGCGCCTTTCTATTCGTTTACTGTTAACTCGCTTATTATTCTTTTCTCTTTTAAATTGCGCGAGTTACGTGCGAATCTAGCCCAATACGCGATAAGGCGCTTTAATTTGACGAATGAGGGGTACCGCCTAAATAGTTCGAATGGAGTAGCTACCTTTGCGTGAGCTACAATCTTTTTCTTTTTTGGGATCTCAATTAGTACTAATCTACTATGCAGTTAACTTAATTCCGGCTTGATAAGCCATGCGGGACCAAACTTCTAAAGCTTACTTTCACGGAGTTCGGCAGGTGTAACGCCGCGAGAAATTAAATCTGCAGGGTTATGCTTTGACGATACATGACGCCACAGCTCGCGAGCTTTGCTCTCTTGAATTTTAGCTACGCGATGCTCTACGTAGGTTTTTAAAGTTTGAGGCGCAGTGTGGAACCAATGCAAAAGTACCGTGGAATCTGCCTAAAATACTGTACGGCAGAAAATCATTTCTACGCAAAGCGTTTTTAGTGCCCTTAAAGAGCAGCGAAAGTATTAAAGCGCCGCAAACTTCAAGGCGCGGAACTGATTGCATTTTAAGCGGAGCTACCTTGGATTTAGCGCAGACTAATCGTAACGTGCGATTTTTTCCCAACGTTCTTTATATTCGGATAAGAATTTAATGTATTCATTTCTAATTTCCGGCTTGCGCGATAATGATCGCTCTAAGGCGTGAATTCTTCGTAACGCGCTCGTATACGAATCTCCTAACTGATTTTCTTTCTTAAATGGCAGTCTCACTATATATCTGCCAGTATCATCCCGTCGCGTGTTGTTTTTATAATGTGGTTCGCACAAATTTTCCTCGTGCGACCTAATACTACTCTCTGCTACTTCTTCAATCTTCCAAAATTTTTCCCATTGTGAGTCTAAATCTACCGTAGCCGTGTGGCAATTAACGCTTTGAGGAGTACGCGTGGCTCCTGTGCTTATAACAAGCAATCCTCGTACAGTTCCTTGTGCCATTAAATTTTCATTTAACCTTATGCTCTGTCCTGCGCGACATAGTGAAGCAAAAATCTCGACACGGACAATCGCGTCGATATTCGCTGGCTCACAAAACTTGGGATCTGCCAATTGGATCCCTACCGGTATAGTCAATTCTTCTCGCGGAATTCGTTGCGAAGGCAACCTATTCGTTACAGTGAGTAATAATAAAAGTTGTATTTCTACCAAATAATTTTCTGTTCGCGATTTTAACGTTGCTAAGATTGCTTGTTTGACTCTAGTTTCCGTTTGGTTTTCGCCAGAAATGGGTACGTTCGCCTCCCGTTTGGCTATTCGCAGAAGATTCGCGAACCGGATTGTTAAAAAATGTGCTTCGAAACCCGAATCAAGGAGCTCACGACACTCGTGCGGCCTGCTGTCACGATCCAGCAAGTGCACCACTGCAGTAAGTAACAGCGAGGGTGTTTGCAAGTGATGGAGCTCTACATGTGCATTCTGCACCGCCGATGCCTTCCGAACGACAAAACTCGTGATGCCCGTTGTTGCACATTCTGTAACAGCCTCGTTCACATGTAACAACTCCTGATGCCTGTTCTTGCACTTTCTGCAGCAGTCATTCTTAATACATGTGTAGACGCGGTGACCAGCTTGTAAACAATTACAACACAAATTGGCGTTAACCACGATTCTTCTGCGTTTCTCGGGCTCCGCTCTCAGTAGCTGCTCACACTCCGATGATTTATTCCTCTCGCGACATATGCTACACGAAATAGTCGCGCTTGTGGAATACGCTTGAAATTGTCCTTGATGGAAACTTCGCGGCCAATTTCGCAGGGAATTAAAACGCCGCTCGTTACGCATCAAGTGCCTTGAACGAAAATTCCTCTCGGGTCCTAACAACGCGTTCCTTCTGCTATTGTTAATCCTTTTAGAATGTCTTGCTGGCTTGGAGCTTACTAGCGCATTTCCTAGATCGCACATCACAAATTCGTTTACCGTTAGAAAAGCATCTCAGGAGTACCGTTGTTCCAATTGAAGACGATCGACAAACACTTTTTTAGTCGCTACTAATGCCCTATAATTAGCATTCAGCGTATCAGACGCGGCAATTAAAGACGAGCGAAATTCACTGTCATTCGGGGGACCCACTAAAATAGCTCAAACGTGCTTATTTATGAATAATAACTGATTGTCATAGCACTCGACTTAGGTCTTCCACGCAATAGAATAATTATCCGCGGTAATTTCCAGAACTCTTATTTTCTCCGCGGCATGTCTCGATAAGCATGATTTTAAATATGCAAACTTTTGTATATCTCAAAGCGCGGGATTATTTCCTATAACTAATTAAAAAGTGTAAAAAAATAAAGATTATGTAATTTATGATTTTTAAATATGAGAAATGTATAACAATAGAAAGAAAACATATTGAATATCTATGATTTGAAAGTATTAGGTCGACAGGTTAAAAAGTCAGATTACTTATACAATTTTATTACTTAAAGACGCTTATTACCTCTTTCTTCTCTTTAAAGTAATCCCCATCAGATATTATACACTTGTGCCAACGGTTTTTTCAATTCTCGAAGCACTTCAAAAAATCATTTTTAGTGATCTTTTTTAGCCCTTCCTTCGATGCTGTATTTATCTTCTCAATCGTAGCGTAGCGTCGTCCTTTCATGGGTTTTTTTTAGTTTTGGAAACAAGAAAAAGTCATAGCGGGTCAAATCTGGGGAATACGGTGGTTGCAGCTTCATTATTGTTTTGTTTTGGGCTGAAAATTCGCGCACAAGCAACGATGTGTGTTAGTAGCAGTGTTATCATGTTGCAAAAACCGAAAAATAGGCAAAAATCGAAGACGAGCCGAAACACGATCAAGAAAAATAACTGTCAAAAATTAACTGAACATTCAAAATAGGCGGACTTGTCAGCTTAAGTGAGAAACATGAGTACCAAAATAACGCCACAAAAAAATTAAAAATCGAATATGTGTAACCCGCGGGAATTCAAAATTCGCGATACTTTTTGAACAGACTTCGTATTTTGCTTTTAGCGTTTTCGTTTTAGAAACAAGAAAAACAAAGAAAACCCAATAAACATAATTTACACTAAGAAAAATACGAAATAGAAAAAGGAAGAAAAAATGTTTCCCTGTCAAGGAAAGTAAATACTTACAAGTAAAATACTATAGTATGGTCTACATAAAAGATTCGAGAACAACGAAAATAAGATTATACTATACAGAAGCATATTTATAACGTATGTACCAAATTGTGTAGCTTTAAGATGACTCTATGTAGATGCGATGACGAATTGTAGCTTTCTTTATTAAATGTGAAGAAAATTCCGATTTTTGATTTAAACGTCAGAATGATGGTTTACGAATGATCGTTAGGCCCTTTAATTTATTATAAGAATTAAAGGGAAATCGGAGCGTTCTAATCAGGTATTAAAGAATTGTTCAAAATTAAAAGTACTTTTGCTGGGCTCATGCACACACACATAAACACACGTGGGAGGACCGGCTGATCAAGCGAGGCAGAAGGAGAATACGATGAAAGGAGACGAGCTCCTTTCGTTTGAGTTTTGAGCTTCCTATAAAAAATAGGTGAATCACAAAACGGGCAGGGGGTATATCGGTATCGGACACTACGGTAGCTATCGCTACATATTCTCTTCGTTTTTCACATTATTTCGCATAACTCGTATTTAGTATAAAGTAATTACTTTTGTTTTCAATCAGTCAATCAATCATACAAAAAAAGCATAAGAATCTTATTGTCCAATTTATTACTAGATTCTGTCTTAACTTGCTTTTAATTCGTGTTTATTATTATTTAAATAAAGTATCTTGAAAAAATACTGTTACCTCGCACTGCTATCTTATACAGGTAAAATGCGAAAAAGGTCCTGATAAGGCAAACATATAAAGAACGTGCATTCCTTCAAAATACAAATATTATTCTACAAAATAATAAAAATGTTTTATAACGAATCGGAGGTGTATTTTGTACTTTGTCGGTTTCTCCTTTGGCATTCGACAGAAGTTTAGTTTTATGAACATTTCACTTCTACCGCGTGTGAACTGCACGTATGTATATTTTTCTCCACATAAATTTAAAAATGGATGCTTTTATCATCGCTTCATAGTTGACTTACCTTTCTACGATCTAATAATCACATTATAAGCTATTACAACAGCAGTTAAAAAGAATAAGCAAGACATAAATCTGTTAAAAGGTAAAAATAATAATCTTGCTTCTGTGAGAAACAAATATTATTATTCTCTCGAAAAATATTTATTTAAAGCATTAGAATACTTTTTCTCTACGCATAGATGATCAATCTTTTTACTGGAAGAGAGAGCGCATTATTTTCCTTAACGATGAGAAGAAGCTGATGATACTGAAATCATGAAAGATTTTGGTAGAAACCGTCTTCTTTTTATTCACACTAAGAAGAAACTATGTGCATTAATATTCTATCAACAGAATTGAAAAATGAATGCATCTTAGTTATTTATAAATTATTTTCTACAATAATTCTTATTAAACTATAATCTTCTGCAGCATTTTGACCAGCTTTAGTATACATTTAAATTTTTGTTTCAGTTTTTGAGATTTCTAAAATTAATGCAGAGAAGTGTAATGCTTATTACTATTGTTATAAAAATGTATCTGAAAGAAAATATCCATCACAAATAAACGTGGAAAGTTGTAAGGCCTATGGGCTCCCAAAAAGATTGTTTTGTTACACTAGAAAAGTATAACTTCTTACGTGCGTACATAAGTACACACACCAGTTATTTAGGTATACTTTTTCATAATTTCTGTTATTATTATTATTATAATTATTACAAGAAGATATTAATTTCTCAGTGTGAACTGAATTATCGTTTACGGTTCAGAGTAAAGTAGTCGTGGTGCAAAATAACATTAAATGTTCTTTTCTAACATTTTGGTGTCGTCGATCTGCATGAATTTTTTAACAGTCCTGTATGTATTTAAAATGACAGCTTTTTAAATCATAATATATAAATATGGTGATAAGTTTTTAATAGCTTGAGACTGTGGTATAAATGTTTGAGGATTACGCTAGTGGCGGACTAAACCATAAATTCATCTTCCATATTCAAGTTACTTCTTTCGTAAGTTATGTATATTTGGCAACTTTTTCCGTAATTGTTTTCCAATGTCGTGTGTATTCGGTATAGCTACATCAACAATATATGTGACTTTATTTTCTTTGTCTTATATTGTAATATCAAGTTGATTGTAGTGAATGATTTTTTTTGTTAATATKGCACGATCATAATATAATTTAYAARAGTTGTTTYCCAAGACGGGATTTGATTTATACTTAAATAATAGGGTTAATAATATAGATAATTAAACATAATAATGTTATATACCTGGTTTTGTCTGTGAGCGTAATCGGTTTGTGTGAGGTTTAAACAGGCGCCTATTACGTGTGGTATAGTTTCCGTTTGTCTATAGCATTTACGACATTTATCATCTTGGACGGTCAGATGATCTTTTATATTATAGTTTCTGTAATTTTTCGTATTCACCACTTGATCTTGGATTGCAAACTCCCATCATTGCTTGATATAACACTACGCAATTGCTATGTTAACCATAATTGTTGCGTTTGCCGTTATGGTGTTTTTATGTAAGGAATTATTCTAATTTATAATATTAAACTGTTTGTAAATTTTTTAAGCGACCAAGAAAATCCAAATAAATTGTTAATTATATTCATTTAAATAATTGACCAGAAGTGCATTGCAATCTTTTTGTATTTATAATTTTTGATAGCATATGATTAAATTGAGTAAATAAACAGTTTTAAAAATGTGTATATATATATATATCTAGGTCTATTTTAGTATAAAAGCAAAATTATATTACTAGAAAATTAATAAAACGAGCCTTACAATAGTCGCATATGATGTTTAACATCTGACATGTTATCGTTGTTAATTTGTAATAGTAACTTAAATCCTCAAAAAAATAAATCGGGTATGATTGGAAAAAATTTTTTATCGAATAATTATATCTTTTTAATGAAAATTTTATTTAATTAACACAAGGAATAATGAAATTGTTTATTAATAATAATTATTCTTGTTCAATTTGGGGAAGAGCGAAGACATTAGACTTATGATGACTAAAATATGACACATGTTATTGTGATTTCAAAGCATTTGAAAACCGTTAAAAAACAGCGTCAATAACAGTACCACTGTTAGTTTTCGAAACATTTCGATATGTGTTCATTTCGTGCTTGCGTTCTTCATTCAAAAAAGCTATGAGCGGCTCAGCTTCTGGCAAACTAAAGTTTACGTTAAAATAAACACTCAAAATCATGGGAATCGAGTGATAGTTTTTTTTTTTTAAAAGAGCAGAACCACCTTCGGTATCTGGTAAAAGAACAAAATCCAGGAAATCTTTAATTTTTTGAACCGTTCGATTCGGAAAAATGTATCAACCACCGAAATCACTGTATGGACATCCTCAAATTAGCATTTTGCCGCACATATTTTCCCAACATCTTATCTACCAATACCCAATCTACTTGTTTGACAATAAGTAATGTCCATATGAGGAGTCACCACATGTGAGTAGTTCTGTTTGCGATAGATCGCTAAATCAGCTGCTCTTTATCCCGGTCGTTTAAATTGTACGTCAATTGTGTGTCATTATCTAACCACGTCTCTGTTAATATAAATAACGTACAATTTTGTAAAATAACCTCGTCGAAATCTGTTTGGTGAGCTCTAAAACTTTGACAATTGAGCGCGAAGATCGCAAGTTTATCTTGAATAAAAACTAAAATTAAAAATATTATATTGACAAAGTGACAGGAATTAAACTTCAATATATGAAAAAGATACGCACTAAAACATTTATTCGAATAACTCCATAATGCTTACTCGCATTTTTTTAAAAATGATGAACTTTGTCGGATTCTTGACAGTA